AAAATGCATATGCGATCTCAAATGCCCTGAATAAACCCAACAGAAAATGCCAAAACTTTATTTATTTAATGCTGAGAGGCTGAATAATCATGATATAAGAAATTGTCACCAACCAGAGAAAAATTTAAACTAAAAAATCAAGACCCAAGAGTCCAATTAAAATCACATTACTTTATGTTTTCCACATAAATATGCATGAACCTGTTTTAATTTTTCAATTTAGCTCCTTTTTTTTCCCTTAAGAGATTAGAATTGGAAGATCCGTAATCTAAAATGGCGGCGGCGGTGTCACGTAGCTGCCCATTGTCACTAAATCTAAACTTTAATCTTTTCTTTTCATGTTCCATGTGGACCATGTAATAATTGTGTTTTGTTTTTCATTTATGTTTTTTAATTTCTTGGTCCCTCATAGAAAACAAAAACGCAAAGAAAAAACTTTTCATTAATATTTAAATACGACTCTTAAGTTTTAACAATACTAATATTGAAGAGTGATGATAATTAGACTTTGTCATGGGAAAGTTTTTACTCTTAAATAAAAACAATACAAGAAGTTTGTATTGTCCCAAGAAAAAGGTGATTTTGGTTTTAGATTTTTGTCTCTTTCTTTTTTTTTTTTTGGTACATTTGCCTCTTTTTTATTCTTAAGGTTTATGTTGCTTGATAAGTAGGCGGTATAAGATGTCTTGAAAACGGAGAAAAGAACTTGAAATAGCTAGCCATCCTTTTTCGCCAACAAAGAAAAGGGGAAAAGGGGAAAGGAGGGGGGGTGTTGGGGGGGGGGGGGGGGGGGGGGGGGTGGGCTGAGAAAAACAAATAGGTAGTACAAATATGAAGAAGATAAAGATAGGGATATAAATTTTGAATAGAAAATGATGAGGAGGGAAGCCATTAGGATTTGATTTTGGACCACTCTACCCTTCATATGAGAGAGAAGAGGGAGTTGCTGCTTGCAACCACATGGGGGAGGCTAATAAACTAAGCCTCCTTCACTGCCACATCCAAATGATGGATTTCCTAAACAATTAATAGCAAACCTAAGCATGTCTCCTCTTCCCCACATTAATACCCAAACTTTTTCAATCCTTGTCTACATTACCCATTTCCTACCCTCAACATTTTTGCTATCCATATCCCCTCTTAATTATCTGTATTTAGTGGAAATCCATATCTTTGTTTATATTGATATATAAGAATCGCAACTGAAAATATAGATGATGTTAAGAAAAACAAGTCTCCATAAAAGCTTACGAATAAGATTCAATGTTTATGCCTTCAAATGTTGCATTGAATCTAAAAAATAACATATTTGCAATAAAAGAATAGTCTATATATATAAATTGAGTCTGTAAAAACTTATGAATATTATAATTCAATACAGAAACAATCTATGCTTCAAAGGCTCAACAAATCTTCATGCGCGCGGTTGCCAACAAAGCCCTTGGTTTCATTGCTGAACTTAGGTATGCCAAACCTAAGCTTTGCAAAATTGTTTTCACTTTCCCTCCTAGCTATCAAATGGAACACACCACACCGTGGCTGGGTGAAACTTAATGCAAATGGGTCCCCTTTTCCCAACTATGGATATGCTAGAGCCGGTGGTCTACTTAGAGATCATGAAGGCCACTAGATCCTTGGATTGGCATGAAAGCTTGGTCACAATTCCAACAATGATGCTAAATTGTGGGCTATTAAAATTGGACTTGAAATGGCCTTGAACTTAAGATGTCAATGTATCAAAATGGGGGCAGATTCACTTGTTGTAGTTAACTATTTACATGATGTTTTTGTTGCTCAAAAGACTCATAAAGCCTTAATTAGTTGCTTCTCACAGATTATTAATCTGACAATTTGAGCCCATGACCATCCAGCATATTTATAGTGAAGCAAATG